CCCTCAGATGTCTTATCATGGCCGAAGCTCTGCATTGAACCGGTCAGACGTGGCGCTATGCTAAACGCTGGGCTGGCGCTGCTCACATATAAGACGGCAGGATCGTGACCCGGGCGATGCACCACCACAATGACTACAATAAGCACGTTCTCTTCGCTTAGTACAGCCGCGGGGGCGCAGTCAACGGCGATGATACGTGACAGCTGACTGGCCGCGACCCGACATGCTGCAGCCCTACCGCCGGTCGTCGGGCACCTCCAGCAGCCACGATGATAGATCTCGCGGATAACACGACAACTGACCAAAATAAGACACTACTTTATGACCATCGCGTTACATATACCGGCCCCGCACCGCCCGGGTCAGTCTCTTGCAATGCGTGTGTTTTAGCTTAACGGGGGCTCAGCCAAGGCAGATGGATTTCACTTGCACGACTGTTACTCCAATTCAAATCATTTAGTTGAGTTTCTGTCGCACGTATACCATACTCGGTTGGTGTCTTAGGTATCCCTTTCATGATTATCCCACTATATGTTGTACAGCAAAGATATAAACTGATTACATGACACTCCTAGGCCCCACTCGCCCCAAAGAGTTGAAAATAGATGGATGAATAATACCAACAAAACGCTTTATACAAGATTTCTACTTCGTCTCGCTATTAGTCTCTTCAGCAAGGGAGCTCTGCATTTTCGCGACATATTCCCATCAGCGCCAGTGTTGATCAGATATCAACATGAGATGTGCAGTAAACAACATTTAACATTCAACTGCATGAAGTGATTCGTGGCTAAGTCTTTGTTGAGCTTAATAAACTCTGGAGGTTGATTTAATCTGCGCTAAAACTTGAGGTAATGACATTTTGCCCTGTTGGCACAATTCGCAGTTCCTCTTTTTCTTTTACACTCCGCTTCGATTTCTTCATGGCACCATTGCATGTTCTTCGACATCCAGAATCGATGCTCTCCACCAAGCACCACGTCGCGTATTGGGCGATTTCCGCCACCGCAGTAGCAGCATATGGACTTGCTTCGAAGCTGGGGTGCGACCAAGTGGTCTTTCGCGTACTTCTGGCCCCGCTACGATTTGTATGCCAGATCCCTGCAGTCTCAGGTTTCCATATCAACATCTCTACACGATCTTATTTCATGGCGTTGTGTTCCTGGGCATCATTGACTTGGCTTGGTAGACCTGGGGCTCGGTAGCCATTACGGGCCAGAAGTATCGTGCTGGTCTATTGCTATAGAGCGACCCAAGGGCAAGGAGCCTCACTAATTTATGGCACTGCAGTTGTGACCCTCCTTTTAGTAGAGCCGCTTGTCGATATGACGGAAATTATCGTCAACCTGGCCAACACGCACCTTTTTCCCGAGTTTGTACTAGATCGAGAGCCGTTTATCCGTGGGGAGGGCGAGCGGTGAGTCTTCTTGGGATGCACGATACGAGCTCGGCTCTACTGACTTTGACGTTCTATTATCTGTTCAAGCTTGTGGGTCGGGCGTATGGGGCACAGGAGAGTCGAGGACTTTTGAAGGTGCTTGGTAATTCTTCCATCCCCAAACCAGAATCCCCTGGGCGAATGATGTTGGGGTTAGCACTGCTAATACTGTGGATGTGATTGGCAATGGATCTGCAGACAGGCTGGTGGCCATCTGTCTTTTTCTTGCAACTTGAGCCGAGCTGCTATTGCATAACTATCTCACCTGGATTCACGTGCATGCAGGAACTCTGTCTCTCACGCCATCTATACGCGAACTGGATGCAAACTCTTGTGCGTGTGAGATGCCTAGAAGAAGCAGTACCACAACAGACCCCAGTCTGCATATGAATACAGACTGCAGTGCTTGGAGATGCGTACGCAATCCCGTCGTGGCTCGTGGCTTTGATGGGCCAGTGGTTCAACGAGAGTCATTCGAGTTTCGTCAGCCCTTTCAGTAGCGTGGAGAAAGCGTGAAGCATTATAGACAGAAATCATGCCTTTGTCCTTTCGCAAACAATAGGCAGGATGCTACACCCTGAACGGGTATATCCGATGGAGGATGAAAGGGCCGATTTATACGAAACAAAGAGCAAAGGATGACGAAGCGCAGAGATCCGGACATACCTTCGGCATCTTATAATCGCCAAATCTAGGCGTCCTAATGTCTGACAGATTTGTCGGCGCTTGGGGAGTGGCCGATATCTAGCTCGTGGGCTGGTCGTCTCGACCAAGGCTCAAGCGTTGGCTTGCATGACCGACCGCTCCGTGTCTGGGGTCGGGCCGGATGGATCCAACAGTTGGCCCGCTGCGAGACCGTCGCTGCCCACTCACCACGATACTATGGGCCCTTTTTCGGGATGCCATTTCTTCGTTTTCATTGAGTACGGTCGGGAGTTGTCGGTTTTCTAAATGTTCTCTGTTGGCTTGCCGAGTTGGAATTAGGTCAAGTGAACCTGGAGCAGATTCAGCAGAACACATCGGAAATATCTACATATCATACAAGGCCTCATTTCGGCTCCAAGGCCGCTCTGTTGGGTCGACGGTTAAGCGCTCCGACCGCACCCCAAAATCATCTCAGGAAGCTCTTTCATCACCACCAGACACCCCATCATTGCAGCTTCTCTCGATATTTCATCACTTGGAGATCATGTTATCGGAGCGACCTACAGATTCGCCAGTCGGGATTCAGTCCGCCGAGCGCGCCGAGTTCAAGCAGCTCTCCATCGCTGAGCTCGACGGTGACCATCGCGACGTCCTTGCACGTGCCATTACGAGGGTTCTCTCCACCGACGTCGCCGAGATCTCGTATGCACAAATCGTCGACGGGCTGCCGCTTGCCGACGTCGCGTACGACTCCTCCACCAGAGCCCCTGCCGAAGGTCATCCCATCAAGGACGTCCACAAAGAGCTTTGCCCAGGCATGTTGGACAAGACGCGAGAATTTCGCGACGGGCTTCGTCCCGAAATTCTGAGTTTTGACTCCAGGGTGATAGCCATTCGGTCCGTTTCCCCTCAAGACTGATGGAGGTGTCACTGATCGCTCGATGGCGTAGCTTCTCCTTGCACACTGCTGGATTCTTCCGACTGTCTAGCCTAGCAGGCCGGGCCTGGAATTCAAAGTAGTCTCGGCAGCCCCAGTGGACCTCCACATTGCGGGCACATTTCTTGCCTTGTCCTCGCCATGTGTCTCGAAGACGTACATGTGGAGGTGAATGGAGGGATCGTCATGCGCGGTCGTCGAAGTTCCATCATGTTTTCCATCACCAACGTGGAGCAATCCATGTCGAGATTCCACGTTGAGAGAAAGTTGGGGATTCACTCAGACCATCAACAAACCTACGTCATCGTCGAAGATGAACACGGGTCCAACAAGCAGTTGAGCATGTCATGGGATGGTATGTTATTTAGCTAACTGGATATTGGTTTGGCAAACCTGGGCGCCGAACCGCATGAGTCGCTGAAGCTGGCCATATCGAACTTGGTTGCGTCCGTAGCGACATCATTCAGCGGACGCGACTGGTCTAGTCCCTATTACTACGATGACAAAGGCATGCCCGCCGAGGGGCTGAAAACTCTTCAGCAGCGCTTGGGAAGGGTTCTTTGTCGGCACTCCGACGCACTCCAAAGACCTGCCCTGGAATTCTGGCCTGCCAGTCAAAGAAGCTCATAAGTGAGATCAGCTCGCCTGCAACGGGGCTGCCGGGGCCGCCGAGTATAGGACCGCCGAGTATGCCGAGTATGCCGCCGCCGGCACCATGGAGGCCTGCCAGCTGCCAGGATTTGGCTCCAGACGTAAAGCTTCGTTTCTATGCCGCTCATGGCGATGGAGAATGAAGTGTTACTTGGCAGGACTCCATCGTTCTTACACTGCCTTGGCTGACAGTTAAGGCGCTCACAGGTTCAGCTTTGCCATAGGCCATCAAAATCGAGAGAAAGGAGAGAGGTATTCACTAGTATCTTAGCGGCAAACTTAATAAATTACTCTTCATAGCTATACTCATACTTCGCCTCTTCCCGGCTCCAGGCCCGATCCTGTACCTCTATAAAATTATCCCAGGTCGGGTAATTTAAGGCAACACGTACACCCTTTTTCCGTATATCTAGAGCATCTAGCGGAAGTAGCTTCCGCTCCTATGGGTCGCGATAGATACCGGTACTACCGATTAGTTCCTCCAGGTTAATACGGCGTACGTTATTCTTATCGCCCAGAATAGGTAACGGATAGGACGTCGATATCGGGCGGAGGAACAAAGTCGGCCCCGGGAACAGGGGCCAAGCGAGTGAATCAAAAGCGGAAGCCCCGACAGCGACACAGGAATTCCAGGAGCCCACCACCAATGACAGCCCTAGTTTTCATCCCTGTTATAACGGGGCTCTCTTTTATTCGGTACGCGGAATAGCAATATTTTCCCCGTTGAGATATCTTTCGCACATCATGCAAGTTGATGATACTCGAGCCCTTTGATCCATGTCTTAGTTGACCACCCACAGCTATAGAGCTGAATGAGACGATGAGTAGGGGTCCCTATTTCCATTCCAGATGCGACTGTCCAAACTTCTAATGTTGTTTACAAAACACAACGATTGCGCGCTCAGCTTTTGAATTTGAACAATCCAAACTTGCTGCATTCACGTACTCAAACTAACAGATATCACCAATTTGCATCAACCAGCCTCCAAACCAGCCATTACCCCTAAAATAAAGCCAAAATGAAGCTGACATATATCGCCATCGTCGCCTTCCAGGCCATCCCAACCCAGTCAACCAAAACAATCCCCACCCCTTTTTTTCCCACCAGACCAAATACTCCATCCAACCCGCACCCACAATCACACACTCCATCCAAACTCCACCCCTCATCTCGCCTTCCAGCCCCAAAACCCACCCCCCCGGGCCTCCACCATCACTCTCATCTCCACTATACCACCAAAACCATCCACATCGACATCCCACAAACCTCCACCACCCCCCGAACTCGTGCAGAATTATCCACCACCACCTCAACAGTAACAACAAACAGGGCGTGTGGCTCAGTTGGTAGAGCGTTCGCTTAGCATACTTACTCATTCGTTTGAGTTTCTGTATGCGAAAGGTCCTGGGTTCGATTCCCAGCTCGTCCATGTTCATACAACTTACTTGTCTTTCCCAACAGCATCAGTGGTCTAGTGGTTAGGATTCAACCCTTCCAAGGTTGAGGGAGGGGTTCGATTCCCTTCTGATGCAGTGCTATGGTGGAGAGGGTGGTTGGTGGTTGGTTGTGTGGTTCTTTTTGGTGTTTTGCTGTTCAGGGGTTGTGGGTTGCGTTAACTTCCTGGACCTGATGTTTTGTTGATTGTGGATGGAACTTATGAGTGAGAATGGCTTTTGCGGGAGGAACGGACTGTTGCTTGATGGGTGGTTTTGTTGGGTTTAGTGTGTAATCTGGGATTTAAATGGATGGTTGAGATAGATGTGAATCCAGTTTTGATAGCATCAGTCAGCATCTAGTCAGAGATGTTCATTAATTACCTATGTAAAGAGTCTCTCGTACTCTATATCCTGTTACTATCCCTATCACTAATTTGAGCTTCCTAGCTGACCATTCATTCTGTAAAAGGAAGATATTCCATATATCCAAGAGATCAACCCAACACCCATCCGCCAACCTCCCCCCATCTACCGCCCCCTCTCACCCCCTCGCATCCTCCAACACCGCCTCCCCCGCCTTCTCACTCAACATAAACGTAGGCAACACCGGAAACGCCCCCGGCGTCCTCGGAAACGCGCTCGCATCCACCACCCTCAGCCCCCTCACCCCCCTCACCCTGAACCTCGAGTCCAGCACCGCCATCCCGTCCCCGTCCCCCCAATCGCACACGTGCTCGTCCCATGGTGGCTGAACGCCTGGTCCTTGATCCACTCCCTATCCGCCTCATCGTCACACGTGCCATCAACAGTCGGCCCAGCAGGACACGGCGGCTCGACAAACTGCGTGACCGGCCCGACCGGCGAGGGCAGCGCGGCAAACGTGCGCCTCGCCCACTTTACTGTATCCAAAATCGCACCCAAATCAGTCCCGCTGCCCTGGGAGAAGTAGTTGAAATTAATCTCAGGCGTGTCGCGCGGGTCGGTGCTGCGCAGCCGGACGGTTCCGGCGCGGTTCTGCGCGTGGATCTTGACGGTCGACAGCGCAAACGTGGTGGGAGGGTCAAGAGAGAACGGGGCGCTGCTGGGGGGCGCGAAGCCGCGGATGGCAAACGTGCCGGCGGTGAAGAACATGTCGCGCTCAGCGCAGGCGGGGCTGGCGCTCTTGTAGAGGATGGCGTTGAGGTTGCCAAGGGACATGTAGGGGCCCAGTCCCCGGCGCCAGAGGGCGACGCAGGGGTCGCCCGGGGCGCCGTAGGTGCACACAGGCGCGGCTGGGTCGAGGGGCGCGGAGAAGTCGGCGGACGTCTGCACGACGATGGGGATCTCGTAGTTGTCTTGCATGTTGCTGCCGACGCCGGGGAGGTTGGCGCGGAGGGGGATGGAGAGGCGGGCGAGCTCGGACGCGGGGCCGATGCCGGAGAGCATGAGGAGCTGCGGGGTGTTGAAGACGCCGGCGCTGAGGATGACTTCTTTGCGGGCGAGGGCTTGGCCGGGCGTGCCTTGGGAGGCGGTGTGGCGGGGGTCGGCGGAGTAGAGGCTTTGGCCGTGGAGGAACTGGACGCCGGTTGCTTTGGGCTTTTGGCTGGGGGCTGTGGGGGTGGTGAGGAGGACTTTGGTGGCGAGGGTGTTGAGCTGGATGTAGAGGGGGTATTTCTTGGAGCCGTCGGGCTTGAGGGCGCTGGCGGTTGCGAGGACGAGGTCGCGGGAGCTGAAGCGGTGCCATGCGGCGCTGACGTGGAGTGCGGAGTCGAAGACGCCCTGTTGCTGGTCTCTTGTTGGCGAGAGGGCGTTGATGTCGGCGCCGAGGTTCTGCAGGATCTGGTTGGGGTTTTGGCCGAGGGCGCCCGAGATGGTCTTGAGGGCTGTCAAGGTGGCCGTGAGGTTCTCATAGCCTCTTGGGTCGCCCTGGTTGGTGTCAAGGTAGCCGGTGAAGCCATGTCCTGGGGTTCCAACGGGGAGATAGTGGTTGTTCTCGATGCGCTCAAAGATTTTGCGCATCTTTCTGGGGCTATTGGGTGTGTTAGTCGAAGGACTGATAATAGAGGCAGAGTGCAGTTAACGCAAACGTACCTCCACGACTGGTCACCAGTCAGGTCAACCACGTTCTGCCAGTCGCTATCACTAGGCAGCACCGTTCCCATGGCATTAACAGCTGAACTGCCACCGAGGGTTCCTCCTCGCGGGTAGTAGATTCCCAGCAGGGTTGAGTTTGCGGGGGGATCGACCCCGACGTAAAACTCGCCATCGGGCTGGCGATAAACAACTTGTCTGTTTCTCCTGGTGCGCGCCTCGTCGGCGTAGTGACGCACGAAATAGTCCCAGCGAAGGGTTGGATCCACGTATCCAAAGGGAAACAACTGGGGGATCGCCGAATTGAGATTTTCACTCTGATCGTCTCCCGCTTCTAGCAGCAAAACTGAATGACCATTCTTGGCAAGCTTCGCGGCCAAAGGACCGCCTCCAGGACCGCTGCCGACGACAATGTAATCATAGGTGCTGTTGGGGTCGGTCGTTGGATGGGCGAGAGTAGAGGCGGCGAGCGATAAGAGGACGAGGCAGGACCGGACGGCCGGCCATGTAGAAAACCTCGCCATTTTGACCTGGAATTTATAGTCAGCTCCTTCCCAGCCATGCATCCGCTTCGTGAGCGGCAATACCACCTTGAATCCATGGCGGTTGCTCGTTGGGGGTTTTGATCACACCAAGACAGCGAGCGCTAGCTGATTACAGGCCGCCGGATACCGACTATCGATAAATCCCCGCACTGGGTCTGCTTTAATTGCGTTTGGCTACGGGCCTTGCAGCTGTCCATATCGTGCTGTTGGTAGCGACGCCGGATATAGTAGCCGGATTCAACTCTTGTTCCTCGATTGCCATATCAATTGACATAGGGAAAACAACGGTATTTCCATCCCGTTTAACAATCGCTATTGCAAGCGGTTGCGGCGCAGCAGAACTACGGTCTGGCTCATGTCGTCATTAGAGAATGTCATTGAGGCAGCTTATGGCCTGTTGGTCGTGAAGCTGGACAAGATCTACTGCCAAGACATCCGTAGCGATGGTAAGTGCGAGGTAAATGCGACCTGATGACATTTGGTAGCGGCGCAAACAATCGTCTCGGATTTTCGGCACCCAGGGATAGGACAGCAATTGGTCTCATTGATTGTGGTAGTGTCTTGGCGATTCCTTCAGATTCACAAGTTGTTCATATTCTATCCAGTTTAATAATGTGGTGAAAGAATCATGGTATTCGCAGCGTTGTCTTCTGAGAGATTTCAGCAATTCAGTTCAGGCTCTTTGAGCGGTGGGATTCTTTTGAGGGTTGTTTGACTGCCAGGACCTTTCAAGCACATCTGATAATCATAACTTTGACGAACTTACTTTGTATATGAATGAGATGATTGTAAATGGGATAGTTGTAAATGAGATGATTGCAGGTCGTGTAGTTGCAGGTGGCTGGACTTTGCGCAGTACAAAGTTGAGAAATCGGCCATGTACAGTTTTAGAGGAAAGTTGTCTGGAGTTAGGAAGGAACCTCTTGCAAGCTCGAGCATTTGCGTCTGGCGGGAAGAACGTTTCTGAACTTCTTCGTTGTTATTCATGTTTTTGTTTCTTTGAACACAGTTTAGTCAAGCTTACCACGCAGTATCAGTTCTGAGAGCCGACCAATGGGTCAACAAACACCACAGATCGGAATGACAAATTCATGAATGTCGCAAACTTCAGCGGCAAAGGTCTTATACAACCAGCGAATAACTATAAATAGGTTGAACAAATCAAGGGCGACTACCACGTACTCTATTCAAATCATCTACACTTGTATCTCGTCATTTGAAAGATGGATCAACCCAACGGTGTCTCCTATGATAACTCTCAAGCGCACGCTTCTATCTAGATTCGCCACGCAACGCCTGACGACGCTCCATCCATGGCGAAAGTGATGTATGACTACACCCACACGCCCGATCCTGAGATCGCCTGGGGCACTGGCCCGATAATCTTGAACACTGAAGACAGCGATCGAGAAGAAATGCTCATCTTTCTACTGTCGGCTATCTAAATTTTCATGGATAAGGCCCACAAGTCTCCGTTGTCCAGCCGGCGTATAATTGTGGCCTTAGAACGAGACGATGATAACAATGAAGAGGTTGTGGGCTGGGCAAACTGGCTGGGCCCAAAGGGCAACATGGAAGATCTTAACCCCGGCAGCCACCGTCATGAAACTAGTGATGATAGCAGTACTACTGTTCTCCCGGACTCTCCTGTGATTCCTGCCAATATTGATGGGGAGGCGCGCATGGCGCAGGAAGATGTGGCTGATCGATTCAAGAGGGAATCGCTTGGGGAGGATAAAGAGAATAATACTTGGGGTAAGAGCTGTTGTGTTGGGCATGCTTAAAGATGATAACTAACAAGATGCCATTGTTTCTTTCGGGTGGGTAGAGCTTGAACAAATCGCCATCAGTCCGCACCACAAAGGGAAGAAAGTCAAGACAATGGTGCTTGTATATGAAGAACAACCGCGGATAAGAAAATATCAATTGGCCGAATAGCGACAAAACCGAGTTGGAACACGGCATGTGGGGGTAGCCGGCAACTTGAATGCTTTGCGTCTGAACCACTGAGTTGCTGCTGGGGCAATCCTGTCCAACGGGTAGGTACGTCATTTGACAGCCGAGTCAGCGTTCAATGCCCAGCGATTTGTGCGATGAAAAAAATACTGGGCAGTATTCTTTGTGGGTCGCATTGATGATATAGGACTATATTGTTGAGCGACTAAGTTCCGTAGGTTGACTCGGCAAAGTTCAAAATGTAAAACGCTTCGAAGAAGTGACAACGTCTTTTGGTTGATGAACGAGAACATAATGCCCCACTAACCCGACTAAGCTCCGAGCTATGCCCCTTACGGTTAGATGGCAGGTCCGCGCTCGTTAGCTCGCTGCCAGGGATTGCGGAATTTTTGAGCCTAGAAATTTTCGGACCGCCTACCTTT